GGGAAAGCTGAGCCTGAAGAGCTGCATACAGTTTGCATGGCAGTCTGACTCTTTAACCTACATATTTTGCATGCTGTAGGAAAAATAACTACTCAGAAAAACCATCATAAAAAAAGAGAACTTCGAAAGGATGAGGGTAATGCAGAGCTGCAGAAGGATGCGGCCACAGGACTGTAGGATCCTGTAGGAGGAATACACGGCAACGTATGGCCACTGCTAAGAGATGCTATTTCTGTTTTTAAATAAGGGAAAGGAGTAATGCGCTGGACTACGTATGCTGTGTTGTATTATATAACCAGTGCAACCAACATTTTCTAAGTCATCGCAATTCTAGCAACAAACTGCAGGTATATATACCCAGATATTTATATCTCTATAGAGGTCCAAGATCTGTAATTCTGTATGTGTTCCAAAAGAAACATTCTACTGCATTATGTCTTTCTTTTTTTCCTTAAATTGATTTATATCCTGCAGTGCAGGGACACATATTCTATGTAATCTTCCACAGAAGTCAATATTCTTATTCTCCATGTAAACGAACATATTGTGAAATATTGATGTGAACACATATCCATTAGAAGGCTTCTGGCGAGGAACCAGCCATCAGCATATGCTCTCTTCTTGTCACACCCTCACAGCTTGGCCAGAAGGATGGTACTGTCACTAGGGAGGGCAGATTTCCTCTACGTCAAGAACAGAATCCGCCTAACACGAGCTAACACACAGCTATGATCCCAGAAGAGCAGAAGGACAGCCAGCGCACGAGGAGAGCTGGAGAGGGCACGGACCCCCGCGTCCGGGGTCCTGAGCTGGAACAAGCCTCAAATCCACAGGCTGAAAACTAGCATCAGCCGCTGGCAGCAGCACAAGCTTTTCCTCGCTCGGCAGCTAGGCATGCTGCTCCTCCTTCTGCTTCCTGCGGGATCTAGCAGAGAGCAGGGAATCGCAGCCACAGCACCGGGCCGGGCGTGCACCAAAGACACCTCCCGGGCTGCGCAGCCGCGGCCAGCTATCCTCGCTCCCGTCCCGGGGGCACGACTAAACATTTGGCTAACAAACGCATCACCAACGGAAGCACAAGAACATCTCTTCCCTGATCAAAAGTGAGAGCGCAAAGCACAGCAACTCGTCACACCGAGGTGAAACGGGTCACAGGAGACCCCTGTTTAGTCCTGCTCTGTTCAAAGCAATGGAAAAAGGAAAAGAAGAGAAAACAAACAAAAAGACGAGAAAGCAAACAAAAAGACGAGAAAACAAAAACACAAACCCAGACCAGGAGTTGCAAAGACAGACCAGCTTTGGGGTGGAGAAGAGCAGCTCATCATTTATTGTCCACTAAACACCCTGAAGATACAAAACACTTATAGCTGCTGATCATCACATTTTTTATCTACAGACAATGAAGCTTCAATAGCAGCAGAAAGCAAGAAGGAAAAGTAATCGCACTCTCCAAATAATAAAGCAAAAGGCGTAATAATAAATAAAAATAATATAATGCAGTAGGAATGGGCTTATTTCCAAGATGTTAGTCCCAGCTGGCAGAATACACTGCCACAGGAACACACCAGGTCCTGGCACGCCTGGCGCCTGAGACAAAGGCACCGGTGCTGTCAGCGAGGGCAGCAGACAGTGTTCTCACCACGCCATTTCCCCCCTTAATTCTCTATGTACCGAAAGGTGTACGAGAAGGAGTCACAGCACACAGCACCATCAGGACAGACATCAGCATCAGGCACTGCAGAAATCACCTGTAAAGGGAAACGGTGAACACAAAGTGCACGGGCTCATATTTATATATTTATCCAAGTCCTCTGGATACGATTCAGTATAGCTCCGCGAGGGAATTTAATAGAAACAGATCCCTTTGCTGGATGCACAGTTTCCCATACTGGCTTTCAGCGGTATGTATTTAGGCACTGACCTATTTAATACTGTCAGAACAAAGCAGTGTTAACCACAGTAGCTGCTACTGCAAGGCCACCCCAGGCTGCTCAACACTAATCGCTGCCTGTACGCCGACTGATAGGGCTTGGTACCGTCCCATCCGCACCGTGCCCTCCTCTCGCAGGTTATGCCAAGCAGCAAGGGGCTTATCTGAACGAAGCAGCCCCAGGACTGCGACTCACGGGATGGCGAACCGCAGCATCACGCTGAAAACAAGGCACGAGCCTGCAAACAGCGGCAGGATGGACAGGAAAAGCCATCCACGGTAAGGAATAAAATGGGCATTCTGTAACGTGCCGCAAGCACGGGCCAAGGAACGTGAGCATCGCTTCTTGGATTTAATTTACGTCTCTGTTTAGTATTTTTGATTGAAGATCGGAATATTGTTAGGAGTCTCAGGGAAGTCAGAGGAGAAGAAAGAGGGAAGAAGGCATTCCCCATCTTTTCCTGTACACCAAACCTTTATCAAAAAACACCCTTTAATGTCTTTGTTTTCCTCTTGCTTACAGCAGCAAGCTGATAATTGTTTAATAATTTGTCCACAGTTTCACATTTGCACATAATATTCAAGGATCAATTATCACGCTGTTACCCAGCCTCAACCTCCCGACCGCCTGGGAGATGCAGGAACTCTGAAGTGGGAGCACATGCAGTATGTTCACGGGCACACTAGGTTTGACACTTGGAAGGAAACAGGCTTTGCTAGATAACTAGATTATTCAAGGCAACGAAAGATTTGTTTCATATTTCACAGCCTCTTTTACTTTAGGCTTCTGTGAATTAATTTTTCTTGCAATTTATTATTTCTTTCCTCCCTCATTCATTTTCCTCTCTCATCAATTAGTATAATTTAGCTTTGATAAAAACATTGAGGTTTGAAGCAGTCCCAAAAATGCCACAGAAAAAGGGTAAAGCAGAAAGAACAGCGGGTCCGTTTACTCAGCAACTACAAAATAACAGTAAATCATCAGTCCCTCCAGCTCACTGACCGGTCTTACACTTGAGATTGCTGACAGATACGTGATGAGGTGGCTGGACGACTGGAAAAGTTAACAATATATTCCTAGTTTTTTCTACGCCCCAGTCTGTTTAAGGAGGAAAAGTTCCCATGCATCCTCTTCCTGGACACTACAACCAAGAGCCAGCCAGGTCCAGCCTTCCTGCTTGCTGAAGAAACGAGCAGAAGAAAACATCATCCTTTAGCTGTTATGGTTCCAGAAAGGGAAAAAAAAAATAAAAAAAAAATAAAAAAAAAAAATACTTCAGTGAGGTCGCAAATAATTTTTTTCCAGCTGCCATAAATACACAGCTCTGAATTGCTCTCCATCCAGCCATCACTTGTAACGCTGTCGTATCGCTTGTGCAATTAAAGCCCCAATCCATTAGGAGCTCCAATAAGCCAGATGACATTCAGCCTCTTTTGAAAAGATTTAGGGTGCTGCAGAGTCCGTCACAACCCAGAAAGCATTTCTGAAAACACACTCTGCTCGGAGAAGAAGCTTCTGCCTTATCCATTAAGCAAGCCAACAGGGCAGCACTGTCTAATCGTAGGCATCCCCCTCCTCCAGCAGCACTAGCTACGGGCATTCGGAGCGCGCCTCTCTACCCGGGAACGAGCAGACACTGAGCACACATGGCAGCCACTACGCTTAATAAAGCATACATGCCCCTGAAGAGCAAAGCCCCGGTAGCTGTGTTCGCATGCCTGTGTTGTTTTCAGCGGAGAACAAGGAGAATGTCTTTGCAGTAACAGGGAGCTCACTTGGAAAATCCGCAGCGCTTTCAAACGGCAAAGAACCAGGAGTGGCAGCACACCTCGAGGCAGCTGGTTATTTTGAATGGTTTGCTGGAGTTTGAATAACATCAGACCTAGGGACAGCATGGAATACATCTGGGGAAAGAGATTTCATCCTCCCAAACCAGAACAGAAAGCTCCAAGCCCCTGGTACAATCCGAGGAGGAGGCCAGAGCTCAGCCTGGAGCAATGTCTTGTGCAAACCCGGAGTAACTGCCTCTGCCCGTCCACAGTCCCCTCTTCCCGCAGCACCAAGCTACGCAGGGCACAGGTAAAGTCCATCTTTGGCAACCAC